GCTACCAGAAGTTGTTCACTTCGGCCCTCGAGCACCGGGCCACCAAGAAGGCTCGGCGTGCTGAGGACCAGTCTCGTGATATGTATCGTGCCTTTTGCAACGCGGCAGCACAGCAGCTGGTGCCAGGAGCCGAGGCTGCTCATCCGCACGTTGGGTAGCACGTGCTCTGCCCCTCTTGGGGGCAAGGCTCCGCCATCGTCGCACTCCGCAGAGGAGAAGGTGGAGCCTAGTACCAGCACAGGATTGCATAAAATTCGTTAATATTACGGCTTGGTCGAAGTTGGCTCTGGATTTCTTGGCAAACCAAGTTTCCTATGTGGATGGAGTCTGCTTCGCCGAGCACCACCTGAAGGATGAATCAAAAGTTTTTACAACCAAAAAACTCTGCCGACAACTTCGCTGGCCCCGCATTTCCAGAGTGCAGCGCCTTCGCCAGGAGGTGGATCTCACGGAGGCGTGCGTGCCGCAGTCCAGCCTGGCCTCTGCATTCGTATTTTTGTTGAAGCAGGCTGGCAACGTTGTCCAAGCTGGTGCAGGCGAGTGCTGGTTCTTCCTAGAGATGCGTCTAAGATCTTGTACCATCGCTGTGGGGGTGATGTACCTGGTCCCGTCGATCGGCGTCTCTGGGGCAAATGCTAGCCGCCTGCGTTCCCTGGCAGAGTTCGTTAATACCTTGGCGATTCCCTGGTCTCTGATGGGGGGGCTTCAACATGTCCCCCGACCTCCTCCAGGTAAGTGGTTTCTTGGAACTCGTTCGTGCTCGGAGTGTCGTTCCTGGAAACGTGACGTGTACCTGTGTCGTGGGTGAGTCTATGATTGACTACGTGGTATGTAGTGATGCTGTTTGGCCCTATGTTCGGGTGGAAGCAGATCCTACTTCACCCTTTAAAGTACATGCCTGTTTGGATATCAGGATTGAAAAGCTTATCCCTGCCTGTGTGTGCGCAGCGTGGCCGCTAAGTTTCCTGAAGCATATGGCCCTGACAACTGTTGGTTGTCTTACGTGAGTGAAGTTGCCAGGTCGTTCTCGCCTCGCACCCTTGAGTTTCCCGGAGACGTAAGGGATGCCTTTCCACAGCACACCGCCGAGCACCTGGATCACAACTTGAGTTTCAAGTATGCGGTGTGGTCTCGTGCTGTTGAATGTATGATGTTGTCTCGTGCCTGTGCGATCATTCATAAACCGCATATGTACCTTGGCCGTGGGACCATGATTAAGAGGCGCGACGCTTCCTTGGCAGCCCGAGGCCCAATAGCTCAAAGCTTCCGCTGTCCGACCCTCGCATTCTGGTCTATGGTGGGTTCCCGTACTCATGAATATGGGAAGCTCCTGAAGGCCCCCTACGGTACCCCTACGAGGCGACTGCGTGACGTACTTCGCGAAATTGCTCCTCCTGTACATGCCCACATTGGCCCCCTGCAGGATACGGATGAGGCAAAGGCTTGGACCACCCTCCTGGAGGGCCCTCCTTAGAATCGTGATGATGCTCGTCTGATGGTCGATCGTTGTGGTGATATATGTGCACGTGCGTGGTCTCAAGCCCATGCCCACACCCGTAAGAGTATTCGTGAATGGCTGCGGGCTGCCTTACCGCGAGGTGCTAAGAAGGTCCATGCATACCTTAAAGCAGAGGAGAATATTTGGGTTGGGTATTTCGAACCCCCCCTGGGGGTCGCGAGCGACCCAATTAGTATGATGAAGCATAGGAAGTATATGTGGAGCAGTTGGTGGACTCCAGAGCCCCTGGTTAGCAAGTGTCTCGACGCTGGGCTGGATGAGCTCCAAGCCCTTGCGCAGATCTCTCTTCTTGATTATGACCCCCTCGAGGTGAAGGACATCACCCGTGCATGTGTCAGGTTTGGCGATCAGACCTCCACCGGCGTTGATCTGTGGTCTCCGCGTTTTTGATCGGCTTGCCTTATCCAGCACTCGAGCAGCTCACCGATGTCTTTGTGGACGTCGAAGGTAAGCTTGCCTTCCCCTCGCAGTGCCTGTTCTGTGCAATGGCCATGCTCCCTAAGTCCACCAAGGATGAGAGAGCCATCACTAAATGCCCCCCTGTGTACCGCATCTATTGCAAGGCGCGTGGCTTTGACATCGATTCTTGGAACCGAGAGCATCTTGAGTTTTGGGATACGGCAGCGAGAGGAAGCTCGGCCTTGAAGGCCAACCTGCACCGAGAAGTCTGTAACGAAGCTGCTCTCTCTTCTGACCTGGCTGCGGTCTGTGCCATTTGGGATATGGAGAAGTTGTTTCGATTCAGTTTCCCCGCGCAAGTTGATGCACCTTGCCATCAAGCATGGTTACCCCGCCTACCTCCTCGACCTTGGCCTCCTCGCCCACACGTCCCCGAGGGCCCTGGAGGTCTCCGGGATGATGTCCAAGGTCTTGGCAGCTGGGGAGTCTATTTTGGCGGGGCGTGGTCAGAGCATGCCCTGGTCTAAATGCTACCTGTATGATATTTTGGAGAGAGCCCATAACAGGATTCCCGAAGGCCCCAACACGAGCCCCACGGTCCGAGTTCCGATTAGGTCCTACGTTGACGACATCATTCAGTTCCTGCACGGCACGCCAGCCTTCCTGACCAAGTATTTCCCTCAGGCGGTGCTTCTTTCCAGCATGACGCTGAGGACTTGGGTTGCAGGACTTCAACCAAGTCTACCGCCCTTGCGTCCAGCAAGGCAGTCCAGCAGTTGATGCGCGCCGAGTTTGCCAAGTTTAACATCGTCCTGAGCGTTGGGGAATATTTGGAAGATCTTGGCACTGCTACTACCCTCACTAAACGTCGTTCCACTTGGAGGATTAAGCTCAGACGAGGCATTGCTTCTCGGAGAAGTATGCAGCTTAGATGTTTGGCGCAGCTGTGCGGACGCTCGAGGAAAGCTTTCAAACCTGGAACCCTCTCCGTCGGTACGTAAAGCCATGGGGTCCTGGGGGTCCCTTCTGGGGAGATGAAGAAGCTGCGCGGCACTGCTGCGGCATGTTCTGGGTTCTGGAGCTCTGGAGCTTGTACGACTTCGGTTCTTCAGGTCCTGAGCGATTTCAGCGACGATCCGATGTTTCGCCTTCGAGTAGAACAGCCTCCCCTACTGACGGATGTCTGGGAGTCTCTACCACCAGGCATTCAAGCAGGAGCCCGTCGAGCGTGGGCTCGATATGCTGACGTATTCGACCATAAACCTGCGGCTAAAGGATGGAGACGGGTGAACGGCCCTATTGCGGCCGTGTATGTTACTGTCCTGGACCTCGGTTGGATTCCAAGGGCCATCGATCGCTGGGAAGTTCCTGAATCCTCCGATCTCCGTCTTGGGGCTCCTGACCTTCGCTATCATCTCGTTCGTCGGGTTCGTGAAACGTGTAGAGCCCAGGTTTGGTCAAAGGCGTCTGGGCAGTTTTGTGCTGCAGGAGTCGAGCACGGCGTCGACTTCACAGTATTCAGGAAGCTGCATCGGTCGCTGGTGCAAGACGGCGGCTACCAGATAGCAGCAGTGCTCGTCAGTATTGCAGTCGGGGCCTGTTGGCCAGAGGAGCGTTTGCTCCTGTCAGGGTACATGACCTCAGGCCAGTGCCCTAGGTGTGCAGATGAGAAAGAATATATGATGCATAGACGTTGGCAATGCCCCAGCAATGAGCATATGAACCATACGGCCGTTCTTCTCACATCTCATCTGCGACCACAAGCTGACGCCGCCGCCCCCGATAGTGCCCTGTGGGCTCGTGGTGCTCCGCCTCTTTCTGCTACCGTTGGGCTGGCTCCTGCTCCCTATTCCCGTGTCTGGTCTTGGGGACTAGTAGGGCCTCTTCAGAAGCTGGATGGAGGCCTGTGGGGGCTCGATGGGTCTGGAGGTCAGCATGCCAAATATGATAGGTTGAGAAGATGTGGTTGGGCTATTGTCCGTTTGGGACTTCCTGCCGTTGATGGACCTCGGCTAGATGCTATTTGGTGTGGTTCCCTCCCGACCCCTGAGCAATCGAGTCCTAGGGCCGAGCTATTCGCCTTCCTCGTAGTCCTCAATCACACCCGTGGCGATAGTGTATGCTATACGGATTATCTCCCAATGTGTCGTGCTATGGCTAAACCACGCTCCTCGGCTGCTAAGACCTCACCCATGATGGACTTGTGGGTTCAAGTGTGGTATGCTTTAGATAATCGTGGACCTGGTAATGTTGTAGTACTATGGACTAAGTCGCACGCTACCCCAAATATGCAGTTGAAGTTCGGTGTTCAGTCTGATGAGTATTTTCTGAATTGGTGTGCAGACTTCTTCGCTGGATGGGCTGCAGATCCCAGTGCAGTGCCTGATGACGTCGTTCTGAGAGTTCGACAACAGGATGAGTCGACACACTCCATTCTAGGTAGGTTGCTGGCAATGAATTTGGAAGTGGCTGAGTCTTGCAAGCGCTTGATGGCAGCCCGCGTCGGTCGTGCCCCGCGTAAGCCCCGCTGGCCACTCCTGTGTTAAGCGTTCGGCCGACTTTAAGTGTCAGATGTGTGGTCGTAGGTTCCCGATGAATGGCCTTCTTAGACGCTTCCTTCCTGGTCGTTGTCTTGGGGCCCGCGCTCTGGCGCCTGAAGATCCCTCCTGCCATCCCTTATATATGCATGCTGATAGTTCGCGCGCCCTCGAGGTTCTCAGGGGTGTGCTGTATTGTGTTGTTTGTGGGAGTTTCGGTGCTGTGAACGCACGGGGCCTTTGTAAAGTCTGTCCCCCGTCACGCCGCCCCACCAAGGCGGGAGCAGAGGTGCTGAGCCGCCTCTCGCGAGGACTCCCGCCCAAGTGCGGAGTCCCATGGCCTGCTCCCTGAGATTGGATTGCGCCCAGGCTTGACCTGGTCCCCGCTTGAGTCCAATCCAATCCAATACAATCCTCCTCCTCCTCCCTCTTCCTCCTCCTCCTCCTCCTCCTCCTCCTCATCCTCCTGCCCCCTCCCCCCGACGAACACGACCTCCTCGCCCCTGCCGCCACTACTACGTACGCCCTGGACGGGGCACGGCAGCCTCCTCGCGCCCAGCCTGTCCTTGTAGGTCCGCGCCTGCCCCAGGTCGAACCACGAGTGACCCATCTTGTGCAGAAGCGCCGCTGGAGGGGGCGGGGAAAGATGAGCGGGGGCTGGACGAGAAGATAAGGACGAGAGGCGGTCGGTCATGACGGGTGTACGGGGAAGAGGTGGCAAACCTCTTGCTGGGTCTCAAGTTTGGACGGAATGCAACGCGCCCGCGGATTGAGCTGGGGTCGCGTCGGGGTGGACAGAGAGACAAGGGATGGAGGAGGCAAAAGGGAGCAGGGACTGGGGGGGAGGGAACGATGAGGGAGGATGACCCGTACAATAATGAGGGGTGCAAGAGTAGGAGGGGGAGGGGCAGGATGACCCGTGCAACAATGAGGGAGAACGACAACGAAGAGACACATGGGGGTGGGGCAAGCCAGGTCCGCTCGCTCGCGCCATATCTGACGTCCTTTTCCTCCCTCCCCCTCCTCTTGCGATGCCGTTTTCTCTGTCCTCGGGTGCGTGTCATGACAGCGTGTCATGGCCGACCTGGAGCTACAAACAATGTGATGCGCAATCGGAAAACGGGAGCTTCGTACATAGGACGAAGAGGAAGTCGTGTGACACGTGAAAGCACGAAGATGAACAGGAGGAAGAGGAGGAGGAGGAGGAGGAGGACGAGGAGGAGGAGGGAGGACGAGGACAAGCAGCAACAGCAGGAACTGGAGCGCAAGAAGTGGGAGCAGGAGGACCAGGAGAAGGCGGTGGAGGAGGGGAAATGAAAGGGCGACAACGATGAAGGAAGACTCGGACCCAGAGACGTGGCACGCGCGAGAGCGAGGGCGCCATTCTGAACGACGGGAGCACAGCGACGGCCCGAACATGAGGCCCACGCTGCAGCGGGACACAATTCTGAAAGACCAAAAAATAATCAAATTGCGCAACACAGACGAAACAACAACTGTTGAAATGCTGCGACAAACAAAAATCGGAGAAGACCGAACATCTTCCGCACATGATCAGTGGAGAGAGCATGCTAGTATTCATAATGTGTGAGTGTGGAGGGGGAAGGCCATGAGGGCGGAGGAGGCCACAGCCCGGACCCCAGCCCAAACCCGAAAGGCAAGGAGAAGAAAGAAGAATATGAGGAAGAGCATGGTCGCAGAATGGTCACAATAAATGGTAAAAGGATCGTGCAAATCGTGATACTCACATTCTGCCGTATTATCATCTGCCTCATCCCTCTCCCCCACCTCATGCACGTATGGCGATGAAGGGTAGCGTGCCTCGAGCAATATCGTGAATGGATCTGCGATGCTTCTGCCAGGGCATTGCCTGCGCTTTCAGGATGCTCCCAACGATACCACAGAAACCTCCACCCCGCGAAACAGATCAAAACCTCAATCCTCTCCTCCTCGACCCTTGCGGGGGAGTCGGATCGATCGGACCAACAATTATCGAAGTGGACCCTGAGAGGCAGGGTGCCCCCAGCCTTCCGCACCACTTTGGAGCCCCCACGGGTCCTCCAGGCCTGGCGAGGGGTGCTCTGAAGCTCATCTTGGGCCCTTTGGAAAACGAAGGGGGCATCTTGGGCTCCAGACACCCGACGCTGCGTTTCTGCTCACAACGTGACTCCCAAGAGGGCCGAACCCCTTCCCAAGGACTCGCTAATCGTGTTTTGACCGCCCTGGGGCCCAACGAAGGCCCCTGGAAACCGAAATGTGCGAACAACCTTCCGCGAGATTGCCTCATCCTCTGGCGCGTTACCCGCCGCCGCCGCCGCCCCCCCCCCCCCCTCCCCCTTCCCCCGGGCAACAGCAACGATCGCACCTAGGCGGGGGCCTGGACCCCCCCAATATGCTGGTGCTCGCGCGCATACTGCGGCGATCGCAACGCACCCTCGCTCCGACGTGCTCCACCCGCCCCAAAGTTACCGTTACCCGCCCCCCCACCCCACCCCACGGGCAACGACCGTTGCCAGATATGGTTTCTTTGGATTCCCCAGTTCGGCTTGCCTGAGGGGTTCCTACTTGGTTAAGTGTTGGTGCCTCGGGAGCTCACTTCGCCCGTGGCCCGGAGGTTCCTCGTGTTCCTGGGTCTCCTCGGGCTCCTCCAAGCAATGCCAAGCAATGCCAAGAAATGCCAAACAATGCCAAGCAATGCCCAGAGGTTCCTCCGAGCAATGCCGAGCAATGCCAAATAATGCCGAGCCATGCCAAGCAATGCCAAGCTCTGCGCCCCTGGGATGTCCTCGGAGAACGACCCGAGTTCCAAAACCGTGCGGTGGTCCCGACTCCCTGTTGGCTCACCACACGGTGTAGTTTGGGACGCCCGAAATGAGTTCGGAAAAAATTGGCACGATGCCCAACACCAAATGTTGTCAAAAAACAGCAGCGGCCGCTGTTGGGCAAACAAACGTCTGCCTCGAATGGACGACGTCCCCGCAACGTCGACAACGAGCCCTGTTCAAAATGATCAGGAAGTGCTGCCAATATTCGTACCCATGCTTTCCGTACCCATCTCAATCGTACCGAGTAGTCACTACACCGTTTGGGGGCCCCGACTCTGGCAATGCCGGCGCCGGCGTGAAAGCGTGACACTGCCGGCCCCCCGCCCCCTTGCCCCCCTGGGCCCCCGGCAACGCGCTCTGGCAACGCCACCGGCCGCCGGCACCCCGCCGCCCCGCCCCGCGGGGCAACGAGCACAGCGGGGGCGAGAGGAGCCCGCCCGGCGCCTGTGAGCACGAGCTGCACCTCGCCCGCTCCCGCCGTGCCCTGCCGCGCGCTTCGGGAGGATGGGCGGAGCGAGCGCCGCCGGCACTCGGTGGCTACGTCGGGCGCGGCCTGACCGACCTCTGGCAAGCCATCCCTTTCCCTGGCGTCACCCTCGCCTTGCAAGCTTCCCTCCGGCCACATACAGACGTCTTGGGGCGAGGCTAGGGGGGCCTTCACGGAAGGGGATGGTTTGCTGCGGGTCGGCTAGGCTGCCCCTGACAAGAAAGGCCTCCCAGATGCGCCACCGTGCCTCTGGCACGAAGTGGAGTGCCCCGAGGCGCATGCAACCCTGAGAGGTGACCGAGGGATTGTGAGGTTTCCTGCGATCCTGTCGCTGCAAATTCTTCGAGCCGGGCTTTTCCGCCCAGTTTCAGACCCCGGGACCCTCACAACGTCGGGTTCGGGCCCAGACCCCCAGTTTCCCGCGCGGATCCCCGCGCGCTCTTGGGGGGTGCGTCGCGCGTGGGCCTCTGGGACGGTCCCCGCGCTCAGGAGGGACCCAACGCGGGCCAAGAAAGCCCCGGGGAGGCCGCCCCGATGGGGCCCGAGCAGATGGGGTCGGAAGATCGCGCCGCATCGCCGGTGCAACACCGATGCATCGGGGGTGCGGCGGCGGCGCATCGGCGACGCAAGCATGCAGAACGCCGGGCTCCACGTCGAGCCGCATCGCCGGTACGTCGGCGATGTGGCGCGATCCTCCGGCCCCATCTACTCCGACCCATGCAGGAGGCCTGGAACGATAGCGACTTTGCAGTGCGACAGGGGCAGGGGCGCAAGCTGATACATAGAAGGATATAGGGACAGCAACAACAGACGCAGAAAGAGAGACAGAGGAGGGTACTGGGGGGATATGGGGGGAGACAACAGAGGAGGAACAGAGAGGAGAGAGAAAGAGAGAGAGAGAGAGAGGAACAAAAAAAAGAGAGCGCATGACAAGGGATGAGTAGAGGCTTGACTGAATCACCAATGATTCTTGTTCACTGAAGCGCACGAGTCATCGACAGAGAGAAACCGTTGGCGAAAAATGTAATGCACATCCTGCCGCACACGATTGAAGAACCATGATTATACGGAAACACCCCTCTGGGGGCACCTGCTGCGAATGCCGCGTAAATGCGGCCTCGATGGACCCACGTGATACGAAAGCTCTGGTTCCACAACACGCACTGGACATCATAGCTGCGAGTCCCGGCTGCACTCGTGGTGCGTCAGAGAATGACGAACTAAGGACATGTACATACAGATACTTACACACATACAGACATGTACACACACAAGCATACAAGCATACACACATAAATACATACATACATCCATCCGTCCATAAATACATACATACATACATACATACATACATACATACATACATACATACATGCATGCATGCATACATACATACATACATACATACATGCGCATATACATATAAATATGCATGTACACATTCATTCACACAATACGGTAGAGGGAAACAATTACTGAACACGCCCCCTCCCCCCAAACTCAATGTTCGAACGCGTGGGGGAGACTGCGGTCGAAGTGCACGTCATCAGACCCGCCGCCAACTTTGGACATTGGGGGGAGAGGGAGGTGTTGACAGATGAATGTGGCATGAGTGTTCGCTAATTTGTTCCGAGGCCTGTACAACTATGTGCTTATGTAAAGGTGTATATTTAAATCATTGAAGCCTACGAATAATTAACAAGCAGATAGCCAACGACCTGGCTCCCAAACCATAGGGCGGCCCATGTGGAGAGCTATTGCGGCCTTCTGGCCTTAAGAGGCTTCCAAGATGATTCATAATGAAACCCAGAGGTTGCCAGGACGGCCCAAGACTGCCCAGAACGCTCCGAGGTTATTCCAGGACGGCCGCGGGAGATCACGAGATGCCTCAAGAGAGAATCCTAGAGGCCCCCAACAATGCCCAAAACACCGAAACTGCGCCAAAAAACATGTGTAACAGAAGGTTGTCCTTTGCTTCTCTGGCTTCTGCATAGTTCCAGAAAGTCCAGCAGGGCCTGAGGACGTCCCAAGAGAGCCCTCGAACAGGCCCAAGCCCAGAGACAGCCCAAGAGAGCGCCATCCCACACACGGAACAACAGATCACAACGGTGCACCATGATGCGCACTCCCACTCAGTCGGGCAGGAAGGTGGCGCAGCAGCACGGGGGAGTTGAAGAGCAGAGCGCTGCATAAATATGAACTGTCGGAGCTCCTCGCGGAGCTCTGAAAGTTCATGAGCATGCCGTTTTCCCTCCTTCGCGCAGCAGGACGGGGGAGAGCCTCCCTGCGGAAGCCCGTCTGCGAGACGTACACGCCCCCCAGGGTGTAGCCCAGGTCGCCCGCCACTAGCTGCCCCTCCTGCGCGAGGGGCAGCGACAGGGGGGGGCGACTGGCACGGGGGAGGAGGAGAAGGAGGAGGAGAAGGAGGAGGAGAAGGGGGAGGAGGGGGAGGGGAAGGGGAAGAGGGAGGGGGAGGAGGTGGAGGTGCAGGGGGAGGAGGAGGAGGAGGAGGAGGAGGAGGTGGTGGAGGAGGAGGAGGAGGAGGAGGAGGAGGAGGAGGAACATCGGCCCGAAAGCGGGAGCACATCGCCGACAGATCGGCGACGCCCCCCCCCCCCCCCCGACAGGGCAACCGCGCCTTCCTGGGGCGGGGTGGGAGCCACCGGGCCCCCGTCGGCGAGAGGCACGCGCCCCTCCGGGTGCAGCCCAGGGCGCCCGCCGGCAGCTGCCCCTCCTGCGCCCGGAGGCGGCCCCGGAACTCCCCGCGGGGCTCCGGCGCCCGAAGCCGTCGTGGTCCGCCCCGGGAAGGGGGGGGGGGGGCCATTGGGGGAGGAGGGGGAGGAGGGGCGGGGGGAGGTGGGGGGAGACAAGCTGGGTGCGCTCGCGTCGTATCTGACGTCCTGCCCCTCCCTCCCCCTGTCTATGGCGCAGATCTCCTGTCTATTCGCACGGTCGGATGTCGAGCAGGGCAATGATCCCGAGCGGGTGCGCGATGCACCGTAGAGCACGGCATAGCAGGGAGTAGAAGAGCACGGCAGAACGTATTATGTCATAGCATGGCGTGGCGTTGCGCAGTGAAGCAATGCATCACAAAACATTGCAACGCAAATAATGGCATCGCGCAGCGGCGCAGAGCGCAACACCGCACAACATGTCATGGCATGGCGCCAGGGTCCTTGGAGGGCAGGTGGGTCGTCTTCGAGAGGTCTGGGCTGGTCTTGAGTCGTGGCGCCATGTCTAGCCTTGGACTCCCAGAAAAGTTCCACACAAGGCGGTGCTGATGAAGAGCACCCGCTGGATCTGCTTCCAACATCGCTTTCTCAAAGCAGAAACGGGGCTCCCGCTTGATACTTCCTGAAAAGACGGCGCCCCAAAGTGGTGGGGGCTTCTGCGGCCCAAAAAATCAACGAATCGACACCGAATGTTTAATCACTTCCGATGGTTGTTTCGGGGGGGGGGCATCTTCTAGACTTTCACGGCCTATCTGGAAGGACCGAAAACGCCCGCGCTGCAGCGGGAGCACGATTTGGAACAACCAGAGGCGCAGAAATGGGGCCAACACTTCAGCGGGAGCAACATTTTGCAACAAAAGCCCAAGCGCAAACCCATTTCCACGGAATCCTGCGTGTAAAAAACGATACGCGGAGGGGGGCCAGATATCTTCGGGACGCCATCAGGGAAGAGAGGAAAGTAGTACAGTCGGACTTGATCGGAGAGGACACGCGAGAGGACACAAGATCCTTCCGAGGGCCACGCTGCCACAGAAATGCAGGAGGCATGGGTCGCAAGACACAGGACACGAGGGTACCCTTGATCTGGCAGGAGCGACCTACTAATCCGGGCCGCCCGTATTCATATTGTGCAATTGTGGAGGGGAGGAGTAGGGGGGGAGGAGGGGGGGGGGCAGAGGGGGAAGAGGTGGGGAGGAGGGGTGGAGGAGGCGGGGGGGGGGAGGAGGAGGGGGCGAGGGATAGGGGGGGCTGCTCCTCGCGCCTCCCCTCTTTCCTCTTTCCTCCTCGTCATAGTTCTGGGACGCTCCGGGCGGGATGCCCAACAGCATGTGGTGCCCAAAATCGGCAGCGCCGATGTCGGGCGGGCGACGCTGCTGTTCCTCGAGTACGAGTCATGCCCAGAATGGACCAGGACTGATGTCGATAGTCGTCCCCAGTGGCTCCCATTGTACCGAAGATGACGAGGGGTATGGCGACCCTAACCACCGACTTTGTAGGTTTTCGACTCCAGAAGAATGTCGGGCCCAACTCGAGGATACAATAACGATGCAACATGTGGAGCTCAAAGTGCGGATCAACGTTCTGATTATCATAATCAGGAGAGAATCCAACCTTGCAAACTTCAAATCAGAACTGTTGCAATAAAACAACCGTTTCAAATGTTCGGAATGTGGCAACATGCAAATTCAAATAAATGCGCGACAATAAGTTATGCTGTCCGAGTTCCCCCCACTGAAGCATGTTACGCGTTTGGCGGGATCATCGGGGCACAGCATCAGTAACGAAGAAAACGGCCCGTGACGTTCAGAGATCTTAATCCTTATCATCATCCTCATCACCATCTTCCTGCTCCTCCCCTACCACGTCCTCCTGCTCACCCCCTTTTCTCCTCCTCATTCTCTTCCTCCTCCTTCTCATCCTCCTCCTCCACCTCCTCCTCCACCATCCTCCTCCTCCTCCTCTTCCTCCTCCTCGTCCTCCTCCTCCTAGTCCTCGTCCTCGTCCTCCTCCTCCTCCTCCTCCTCCTAGTCCTCGTCCTCGTCCTCGTCCTCCTCCTCCTCCTCCTCGTCCTCCTTCCCCTCCTCCTGCTTCTCCTCCTCCTCTGCTTCATTCCAAGTACGTGCAGTGGTCCGCCTCAGTCATGTCATCATTGACGCTCCTCCCACGCATTCCTCGAGCTGATCGACCTGCCCCACCCTCGTCCCTGCTTCGAATTCATTTCCAACGCATCTGCGAGAGTGAAAAGTCTCAGCCGTATGCTTTCCTTCTTATTGTTTCTCACTCTTTCTCCTCCTCCTCATCATCATCATCATCATCAACAGCATCAGCATCGTCATCATCATCACCAACACCATCATCGTCAACATCAGCATCATCAGCAGCACCAGCATCATCAGCACCATCAGCATCATCATCATCAACTTGAATCAACAACAGCATCGGCATCAACATCATCATCACCATCAATAACATCAGCATACGCATCAGCATACGCATCATCATCATCAGCAGCAGTAGCAGCATGATCAGCATGATCATGCAAACTGGAGGGGGGTGGCAAGGGAGTGCGAGGAGGAGGACTGGAGATGGAGAGGGAGTGGGACGAATAAAACGAGAGGTAGGGAGGGTAGGAGGATCGAACACCAATAGCTAGGACATACAGAAGGCCTGCCGCGGTCTAACGGGGGGCGCCTGGAACTCTGGGGGGGGGGCAACGTCGCCATAAATCCGCCTCCTGGGTCTTGCCAGTCTGGGGTAACGGAACGAGCGAGGTACGAGCGATGACGTTCAGGTGGGGCGAAGCCCTAAAGGGAGGGGTTCCAGGGGAGGAACGAAGCGTGCGGGAATGGTTGGTAATGCCCCCCCCCCCCCTAAGACGGCTCCAGAGGCGCCCAAGACGGCCCAAGAGGCGCCCAAGACGGCCCAAGAGGCGCCCAATACAGGTCCAAGACGGTCCCAGAGCGCTCCGAAACGGCCAAAGTTGTGTCCGAGATGGTCCAAGAGGCCTTCAAGACGCCCTAAGATGGCTCCAAGACGGCCCAAGAGGCCCCGAAGACGCCCCAAGTGGCCTCCAAGAGGCTCCCCATGAGGCCCCGAGGAGGCAAACATCATGTGTGTGTCAATGGTTTTTGAAGGTTTTTCGGGTTTCGCTTTGTCGGGCCATGAACTGCCGAAAACGACCCAGGAGGCTCCAAAGATCGCCCAAAGACGGCCCAAGAGGCCCCCAGAAGCGAGCGACAACTGCCCAAGAGTGCCCCAAGACGGCCCAAGAGGGCCCCGAAACGGCCCAAGAGAGCCCCAAGACGGCCAAAGAGAGCCCCAAGAGAGCCCCAAGAGACTCCCAAGACGGCCCAGGAATGCTGTCCAGCAAGTTCTTTTTGAGAGGGCTTCCCAAAAACACGTCCCACGGCTGCCCAAACGATGCCCGAAGAGGCCCCAAGAGGTCCCGAGAGGGCCCCAAGACTGGCCCAAGGGACTCCGACAGAGCCCCGAGACGGCCCCAAGACGGCCCAGGAAAGTTGGCCAGCAAGTGTTGTTTGGCAGGGCCCCGAACGCCTTAAAAAACGCCCCGAGACGGCCCCACAAGACCCCGACTGTTCGGAAGGCAATCCCCAGACCGCCCCAAAAGAGCTCCGCGAAGACCTCCAGGAACCCGTGAACGCAAAATAACACCCTGGGTGCATGGGGTGGGCGACTCTCCACATGCGCTCCAAAGCTCAGGGTGACGCGACAAGCTCTTGGCGCCAAAGTTCCCACGAGCGAACGATAACGTAAACAGCTCGTAACGCCAAGGCTGCCAGTAGCGAGCGGTGGCGTAAAAAAGCCTTTCACACCATGTCTTCACGAGCTAGCGGCAAAGTAAACATTTCTGAACACTAGGCTCTCAATGGCCAGCGGCAATGTGACAATCCTGAACGCCACGGCTCCCAAGAGCGAGCGGTGACGTAACAAGCTCTCCACACCAAGGCTCCCAAAAACAAAGGGTGCCGTGAAGCATCTCGGGCAATTTCCTGAGGCGCTCTTTCCGTGTCCGTGCTTTTTCCAGGTGGTGCGGGCCCACCGTACCAACCCTGAAAGGCCCCCTTGAAACGGGGTTACTCGAAGGGTGCACTCCCTGGTGAGTGCTGTGGGAACCGACGTCCTTGGGCAATGGTGTAACTACAGCCTGAGGCCAGCGGTCAACTGGGCGTGGCGAGGGCGGTCGTGTCTGGGGGGTGGCATCCCTGGGCACATCGCAGCGAGCGGCATGCACCCTGTTGGTCATGGTAGCCTGCCGCCCTTTTGCTGCGAGGTCCGACTGCATGTGAATGCATGCAGACACCTTGGGCACCCTCCTTCGGGAGGTGGGCCACTCCCTGAGCGGCCAGTCCAAATCTTTGCGCCAGGCCAAACAGCTCCCTGGAACTCTAACGGCACTAGGACATGTGGAGGGGGCGGGAGGGGGGAAACTCTCTGGAAGGGGAAATGCGGTATTCATGGAGCTGGTCGAATGGTGAAGGCACGAACCCGGATACATACTGCAATCTTCGCATAGCCCGCGTCGTCTAGCACGACCTCCCTGTAGGGGAGGGAAAACGGTTGCCGAAAGGCAGAAGGAGGTGGGGAGGCACGGACCTTGACATAAAACACCGCTTGTGCACAACCCGCTCGGTTCGACACGGCGACACGGCCTCCCTGGAGGGAAAACACGGCCTCCCACGGAGGGGACTCCTGGCAGCGAGAAGGCTGGAGAGGCGGGGCCTCCCTGGCGGGACGGGACGACGCCGAAACCTGGTGAACAGTACGGTTTGCGAGTGTCCTGCCCGCTCTGGCGGGGCCTCCCTGGGGGGGCGGGAGCGGCACGAAACCGAGTGAACGATACGGTTTGCGAATGCCCTGCACGCTCTGGCGGGGCACGTAGCGGTAACAGCGGTAGAAGTGGTAGTCGTGGTTGTAGTGGTAATCGGAGGAGAGATGCATTCAGCGGAGGAGCGGTAGTAGTGGTAGTAGTTAAAACAATGGTAGCAGTGGTAGAATTGGCTATGGTAGTGATGGTAGTGGCACTACGGGTAGTAATGGCAGTAGTGTTAGTGGTGGTAGTAACGGTTGTGGTAGTTGAAATACCAGGGAAGAGTAGAAGGAGAAGGAGAAGGAGAGAGAAGGAGAGGGTGTGCTAGGAAAACAGATATCCCATTCAGGATGTGGGGAATTCCGAACGTCCAATGATGCGTCAAAGTCAAAGCATTGAGAACCTGAAAGCTGCTCACACCTTAGAAACTTGGAACTCTCAAAACTTCAAGCTTTGGAGCTTTGGGGCCCTCGAGCTTTGATTCCCTCAAAGGGGGGCGACTCAGGGTGAAGTACAACGGGCAATGAATGAGGAAGAGGAGGGGGATGACATGAAGAACGACGCCATCTCCTGATCCCACAGTTCGAAGCTGCGCGCTGCGAACCGGATCCGCGAAAGCCCGTCCACGCTGCTTCTCGCCGCGGGGAAGGGCTCGGCCAGCTGATACGCGAATCACACATCTTCTGCCTCGCCCTCACACCCAAACCTTCTCCGGCTTACCTTACCGTACTTCCGCTGTCACTGCTCCTCTTATACTCATCCTATGAACTCGTTGTCTCTATTGCGCGGCCGACCGTTTGTTGTCTGACACGTTCGCCAGCCTGTGCGCCTAAGAACGCGCCACCATTGGGAAGCCAGCCACCAGCTCGCGTGCTGGAGCACCCCACGCCACAGGGCGGAGCACGCGAGAGCGAGTGCCCCCAGCTGGAAGAATCCGCAACGCCGAGAAGGCTCGGCCTGGTTGAAGGAGTACACAAGACAACGTGGACACCTCTGAGAAATCAAAAGACAAGTGAAACATATATAAAAGAAGGTAGGCAAGATTACCTGGAATGCCGATGATAGGTGGGACACGCAGCCCTGACAAGCCAACTCAGACCGCGCCCCCCGCGCCTGGTCAAAACCGGCTGGGCTGGGCTGGGCTGGGCTGGCTGGGCCTGTGGGATGAACGAGTTGCTGGGGATGGCTGAGGTGGCCGGAGTGGCTCAGCTGGCTGGGCTCCCCGGGCTCTCAGGGTTGTGCCATGGGCGGGGGTCGGCTGGGCTGGACTAGTTGGCAATAGGCTGGTGGCCTCGGCGTGCTGCCGTCGGCGTTCTCGAACTTGCCCCGCACGCTGCCATCGTGGGGACGATGGCCCGCTCCACTGCCGAAGGCAGCTGGGCTCGCCGGGTCGGCTGGGCTGGCATTGCGTGGCTTGGCAGTGCTCTTGCTGGCTGGGCCAACGGGTCTGCCTGGGCTGCTGGGGCTGCCTCTGGGCTGCTGGGGCTGCCTCTGGGCTGGCCGGGCCGGTTGGGCTCGCTGGGGCTGGCTGGGTGGGCTGGCTACTAGGCTGGCCTGGCTGGAAAGCAAGGGCGCCGTGTATCCGCCGACCACTTGGGGTCATCGGCGTGTGAGATGCTTCCCCCTCCCCGAACCCATCCCCCCGGGGCCCGGTCCGGTCGGTTTGGAGGGGTGGGGTGGGGGGGTCCGGCCGGCCCCAGCTGAAGGTGCCACGGGAATCACGACAGGCCATCGGGGCCCCAAGAGGCCCACAAGATGGTCCAAGAGGGCCCCGAGTCGCCGATGGACCGTTCCAAGACGCCCAAGATGGCCCCTAGACGGCCCAAGGCCCCCGAGACGCCCCGAGAGGCCCCCAAGAGGCGTCCCAAGAGGACCCCCAGAAGCAAAAATCGCCCCATCCCCTTAGGAAACGTATGATTTTAGCACATTCGCCTCTTGGGCTTTCACAACGTCTAAGACGGCTCCAAGTCGGCCCAAGAGGGCCCCACGACGGCCTAAGAGGCCCCCAAGACGGCTCCAGGAGGGGGCCCAGGCGGGGGACCCGAACAACAATTTCGAGCCCTCGGCCCCAAGAAGCCTCCAGGAGGCCTTAAGAGGCCCCCAAGCCCCCAAGAGGCTCCAAGAGGCCCACCAGAGGCCCCAAGAGGCACCAAAACGGCCCCCCAAAGGCCTCCAAAGTGCTGCCAGGAGGCCCCCGAGAGACCTACCAGGAGCCCCCCAAGGGGTCGGCGGTGCGGCGTAAGCCCAAGAACTTAAAACGCTGTCGGGATTGAGAGGCTTACATGCTCACTGCGACACCCGACTGATGCCCAGGGGTGGAACTTTGAAAGCACGAAGGCAGCGTAGCGCGAGCAGACTACAGCCTGTGACACGAAGGCCGCCAACGCGACAGCAGTGCAGCCTGTCGGCTGCACACGCGGCCGTATGCTGGTCCTCTTCCTCCTTGTTCTCCTCATCCACCTTCTCGTCCTCCCCATCGTCTGTCCTCTTCCTTTTCTCTGTGCGCGGCGGAGGGTTCGCTCTCCGTCCTCCGCACCCACTGGCCACGAGACCCTACCTCATCTTCAGGCCTCACTCCCTGCCGCTCACATCTCACAACCACTCGTCTCTGACGAGACTGCCACACGGGTGAGGAAACCAAACGATACCCATACTGCTACTCCCATGCGAATCAGGCCGTGGCGACGAGGGCCTCCCGGAGGCCCAACATCGGTAAAAACAAAACGAGGGAAAGGTAGCGGCATCGGTACCTGCTCCTCTTCTGGACAAAACCTCCTCAATCCGCGGCCCCAGCAGTCCCTCGGCGTAGGCTTTCTTTCGTCCTGGATCCCGGGCTCGACAACGACCCCCGAGGACCAATATCAAGGAACGCTGCCCAGATTGAAAACAGCTACGTCTATCATCCTCCTCCTCCCCCTCCCCCCTCCGCCTGCCCCCCTCCTCCTCTCCCCCTCCTCCTCCCCCTCCTCCCTCCTCCTCCTCCTGCTCCTCCTCCCTCCTCCTCCTCCTCCTCTTCCCTCCTCCCTCCTCCTCCTCCTCTCCTCCTCCTCCTCCTCCTCCTCCTCCTCCTCCCTCCTCCTCCTCCTCCCTCCTCCTCCTCCTCCTCCTCCTCCTCCTCCTCCTCCTCCTCCTCCTCCTCCCCCTCCTCCCCCTCCTCTACTCCCCTCCACCCTCTCCTCCCTCTCCTCCTCACACTTCCTCCCAGTCCCTCGAGCTGCGCCGAACCGTGGCCGCGAGGCCCCTCCGGGTGGGCGCGGCGGCCGCGGCGCCGGCCGTTCCGCGCTGGCCCTGCTCCCGGTGTACCCGCGCTGGCGCAGCGTCCGCAGGACCCACCGCTCGCCCCGGTAGAGCCACCTGGGCGAGGAGTGAAGCAGGGACTTCCCCTGGCCATCGCTCGGACGTCCATTCCCTGTGTTTTTTTTTTTCGGTTTCGTGCATGTTTTTTTCCTCGATGGTCAAGGATGCTCCTCGATGGTCCTCGCCGAAGGGAAAATGCACACGTCCGAGCGATGCCAAGGTAAAGCAGGGACTTCCCCGAGATCCTGGCGTCGCAATTCTTTTCTTCCGCCGGGCGTGTTCGCCCTGCTTCGGGCCCCCGGGATCCTCGCAGATCGATCCGGCTCGAGCGACGGCGCAGGACGATGGGGTCGAGGGCTCCAGTGGTGATTTTTCGCGATGTTGCATGTTCTTTGCAACGTCGGATCTTCAGGGTTGCGCGAGATGGCACAGCGACCTCACGCGGCGGCTGACGCGGGCCGCCACCGCAGCACGCCGCATAGGTGACGAGGGCGCTCATGCGCGGCCTTGCGCGAGATGATATACAGTCGACGCGGATAATAAGGATGCGCGATAAGGATGCAAGGGCCTCGACACTCTGCGAGCGGGGCGCGACCAGCAGAAGCGGCCAAGGATGGGCCGAAAGGGAAGGATGCAGGGGTCCCCTTGGAAAAGCCGCTCGTCCTGACTGTGCGGGTCGACTGTAGCGACCTTACGCGGCGGCTGACGCGGGCCGCCAGCGCGGCACGCTGCATGGTGACGAGGGCGCCAATGCGCGGCCTTGCGCGGGCAGCTTGCGCGCGAATGTCGGCACGGTCGACCCCCTTTTTCTGTTGCGTCGCTCAGCTGGCGGGGCCGCTCGGCGCGGAGCGGCGCGGGGGCGTTCAACACCTCGAGCGTTGTGCTCGCCCTCGGCCACGTACAAAAAGGGGGGCGGTCTCGTCTCGACATGTCCCTCGGTGTGTTTCGGCCTTGGGTCGTGCTTCGTCTGTCCTGGGCCTCCTGGGGGCGTTCACGCCTCGATGTCTCGGCATGCTGGCGTTCTTCGTATTTGTATGGGCCCCATTGGAGGCTTTTCGTCGCCACGGCTAGATCCGCCAAGAAATTCTGTGCAGAACTCTGCTGAGGGCCTCCGAGGGCGGAGGCAAATTTACGACCCTCCCCCCTCCTTGGATCGATCGCCTCCAAGATGGCCTTATGAGGCCCTCCAGGGCTCCTAAGAGGGCCCCCAGAGGGCCCCAAAAGAACGCCGAGAGCGCCCCAAGACGGCCCCAAAATGGCCCCAAGAGCGCCCAAAAACGCCCCATGAGCGCCTCACGAGGGCCCCAAGAGGCGGTTGGCCGCCTCCTCCTCCTCCTCCTCCTCTTCCTCCTCCTCCTCCTCCTCCTCCTCCGCCTCCTCCTCCTCCTCTTCTTCCTCCTCCTCCTCCTCCTATCCTCGCCCACTCGCAGGCCCCAGGGATGACCCGAAGGGGGCCCTCCAAGGCAACCCCCTTGGCCCCAGGGATCTCTCTGTTCATCCTGATTGCCCGTTTTGTTTCTCCATGCGTGTCTCTTCGTAATTACCTTTCCCCGTCAACTCTCATGGGCAACGTTTCTGAACGGGCTGGTGGGGGTACTTTTTGATCGCGACCGCAAGCGGAAAAGCCGCGCGCCTTCCATGGCAACCGCTAACCAGCAGTAACCTCAATTGCGCACGAGAGAAAAACGAGAAGAGAGGCAACATGATAATAACGGGAGGTGGGACAAGCCGGGGCGGGCCGCGCGGCGCTCACGGGGGGCTGGTGGGGGGTACGCGAAGCGCGAAGAATTATAGTCTCTTGCGTTTCGTCTCCCTCCGACTGCATGCCACATGCGAAAGAATAAGGTGTCTGGCGTGAAGTGCCGATGCACTCTTGTGTGCATGTGTGAAACATTACAAGTATAAATTGAAGTGCGCTAGTACGTATAATTATATGTGTGTGTATGTGTGCGTGTGTGTGTGTGTGTGGTTGGGTGTGTACAAGGCCACCCCTCGCCGTGCTGCCGCACGCAGCCGAGCAAGACGTCGTCGAAGGCCGTGTCCACCGTCAAGGTGTACAGCCCCGCGCGCCTGCGAGCCTTCCTGGCCACGGGCGCGGAGCGGCGGTGGAACGGCGGGAGGAGCGGGAGCACGACGGGGGAAGGAGGTCCGATTTGGCGACGGAGCGCGTCGATGTCGACTGGAAGTGGGACCCGTCACCCCTTCGCGCGTTTCGGTCCACGCCTGCGTTTCCTCGACCCGTCACCACCGCGCCATACCACCACCAGGCCACACCCACACATCCGCACTTCCTATGATTCAACACCCCCCATCCCCGCCTAGCCGGCCGATAGCAACCCCGCCGTCCGAACTGTCAAAAAACTACAACAAACTAATTCTTTTCTCGCCAGCATGTCATCGAGGTCAGAAAACTGTAGCAGGAATTTGACGGAATGGACATCGCTTGGGTAACCCCAAGCGGGTGGTCGCGTCCTACCCATCAACAAACAATACAAACTCAACGTTTTTCTCGTCAGCATGGGCTTTCTTGTCGTCGACGCTGCGGAAACTGTAGCAAGAATGTGACGCGACGCACATCGCGCGCGGACGCCCGGCCAACCCTACGCGGGACCCCCCGGCCTACCTGTCAAAACACACACACACACAAAGCGACGTCGACGTTTTTCTGGCCAAAATGTGCATTCTCTTCGTCGGCGCTGCGAATCGCGTAGCGGGAATGAGACGCGGCGCACATCGCGCGGGGACGCCTGCTCGTCAACATGGATTTTCTGGTCGTCGACGTTGCGGCCCGTCGGGTTGAGGAGCTGGACGGGCGGCAAGTCGTAATGCCTCAAGCAAGTGCAGTTCGCCGCCGGCGCGCCCGTTGTCGTGTCCACGCTAGAGAGACTTTTGGCAACAGTGACCTCTGGTGCGCACGAATCAAACCAAAATCGGCCCCTGGACCCCTATGGCCGTGGCAAAGAACGCCCTTAAGACGGCCCAAATGGCGCCAAAAGGCTCCCAAGAGGCCCCTCAGGGACCCAGGATAACCCTAAGAAATAGAAGAAAAGGCGCCCAGGAGGTCCAAGGGGGCAACACAAATACTGATTTTCATGTGGTGTTTGAAAGATTGTGAGGTTAGCACCGACTTGTGCTGAACATGTTCCAACCTTTGAAGATATATCCAAAAGGCCCCCAGGCGTATACCAGAAAACCCCCAGGACGCCCCGCGAATTCCCAAGAGGAATTTCCCTCTGCCTCCTCAGTTTCTCCTCCTCCTCCTCCTCCTCCTCCTCCTCCATGCTCGGCAGGAGCGAAACGATTGGCGGTACAACACGCGTGGCTGGAATGAGACGCGGCGCACTTCGCGCGCTGGACATATTGTCACCGACAATGCAACATGAGAGGCCGGAGCGGGGCGCGGCGTACATCGCGCGCGGTCTTGTTTCTCGTCGACGTTTCCCAATACGCGGCAGGAATGGGACGCAGCTCATGTCGCGCGTTGAACGTGTAGCCGCCCACGATATAAGATGAGCGATAGGCGTCGGACGCGACGCACTTGCTTCTTATGTTGTGGGAGGGCGGGTGGGAGTGGACGGAACCCTCTGGCTCGTTCGAGCTGGCTAACTCGGCACAAACACTTACGTACATAGACTTTCTTGCGGTCGCAGCCTCGCGCGCGGCCACGGGGCGGAGCAAGCCAAGCAGGGCGGCCAAAACCTGAGCCGGAGCGCGCGCGGGCCAGCTCAGCAGGGGGCAGCACATTGCCATCCGGGCGCGGGAAGGCGGTGAGCGCGCTGGCCGCCACGCAAGGGGACGCCCCACACGGGGGCGCAGCGCAGACGTGACGGGAACAAGGTGTGCAGGACGGACCACGGCGCCAGGCGCAGGCCTCCGGCGAGACGGACATGGGTGGCAAAAGGCCACGGGGCGCTGCCGCCTGGCCTTCCTCCCCTGCCCGCGCACACTGCTGCTGCGCGGCAGGGGCAGCGACGCCGCGCCTGGAGTGTGTCTGTGCGTGCGTGCGTGCGTGCGTGCGTGCGCGTGCGTGTGCGTGTGCGTGTGCGTGTGCGTGTGCGTGTGCGTGTGCGTGTGCGTGTGCGTGTGCGTGTGCGTGTGCGTGTGCGTGTGCGTGTGCGTGTGCGTGTGCGTGTGCGTGTGCGTGTGCGTGTGCGTGTGCGTGTGCGTGTGCGTGTGCGTGTGCGTGTGCGTGTGCGTGTGTGTGCGTGTGCGTGTGCGTGCGTGTGCGTGCGTGTGCGTGTGCGTGTGCGTGTGTGTCCGTGTCCGTGTCCGTGTCCGTGTCCGTGTCCGTGTCCGTGTCCGTGTCCGTGTCCGGCCGTGCGCGTTCGTTCCCACCGCTAAGACTCACTTCGTCTCGTCGCCGCGCGCGAGGCCGCGACCGCCAAACGTGAATGTGTGTGTGTGTGTGTTCGTGTGTGTGCGTGCGTTCGCGTGTGTGTGTGCGTGTTTGCGTGTACCAAGTTTGTTAGCATTCGTGCCGAACGGTCAGCTGGAGGTTGGAGTAATGCGGTGGACACACACACACACACACACACACTCGTACACACGCGCACCTCGACAATAATGAAAGACCCTAGTCCTTTCTCCTTCTCCTTCTCCCTCCTCCCTGCCCTCTCCATTCCTCCGTTGGTCCCTCCTCCCTGGGCCCCACTCCTGCAGGAGAGGAACCCAAACCTCAAAAGTGGTTTCTGCACAGCTAGACCACCTTCCCTAGGACTGGCTTCCCCTCCGGATTCATTTTGTTGACGGTCGCAAGGCCCTGTTAGGGCCCCCACATGGCCAAAATCGCCGTCCAGCGTAATTTGTTCTACCAGGGGTAGAGGGCTGGGGAGGAGAAGCCCCCCCCCCCAGTTGGGGGCTGTGCCCGAGGGGGGAAGGGCTGGACCTCTGGGACGGGGCGCGGTCCTCGAGACGTGGACCTCGAGGCAGTCCAGGATGTTCCTCTCCTGGCGCGCGCGCGTTATCGTCGCCGCCGTCGCTGCTGTCGTCGACGCTGCTGCCGTCGCCGTCATCGTCGTCGTCGTCGTCGACCTCCTCCTCCTCCTCCTCATCATCATCCTCCTCGTTGTCTTCGTCCGACTCCTGATGCTTCTGTTCCTCTCACTACCCTCCCCCCCGCTTCTGCCGCTGCTGCTGCTCCTCCGATTCCTGGTAATCCAAGCCCGGCTCCTGTTGTTGTTCCTGCTGATGTCCACTTGTTGAAGCTAATGCTGCCTGTGCAAGTGCTCGTTCTCATCTCTCTCTCTCTCTCGTTTGCCCTCTCTTGCTCTCCCTCTCTCTCTCTCTCTTTCTCGATGCCTCTCGTTCTCTGAGGCCATCCTTCGCATCCTCCTCCTCATCCTCCTTCTCCTCCTCCTCAGCCTCCTTCCCTTCCCCGCTTCCTCCTCCGCTTCTCCCTCCACCTCCTCCTCCTCCTCCTCATCCTCCTCCTCCTCCTCATCCCCCTCCTCCACCTCATCATCATCACTGTCATCCTCGTCGTGAGCATCTTCACCGTCATCATCGTCATCATCACTGTCACCATCACCATGGCCATGGCCATCACCACCACCACCACCATCACCATCATCATCATCATCATCATCATCATCATCAGCAGCAACAGCATCAGCATTATCATCATCGTCATCATCAATATGACCAACATCATCATCAACATCATCAATATCACCATCAGCATCAACACCGTGTCCATCACCATCACAAACACCATCACCATCGCCATCATAAGCATCATCATCAGCATCATCATCCTCATCCTCATCCTCATCCTCATCCTCATCATCATCATCATCATAATCAGCATCATCATCATCCGCATCGTCATCGTCATCATCGTCAGCATCACGATCACAATCATCATAGTCATATGGTGTCGTCCTCGGCACCATCATCAAACACATCACCAGCGTCATCACCATCATCAGCATTAGCAGCAACATCAGCATCCGCATCGACATCAACATCATCATCGTCGTCAGCATCATCATCATCATCATCATCATCATCATCATCATCATCATCATTATCATCATCATTTTCAGCAACATCATCTTAATCCTCATGCTCTTTCTCATTATCATCATCAGCATCACCATCATCATCGCCATCACCACCAACAACACCATAATCATCACCAACATCACCAACATCACCAACATCATGACCATCATCAGCATCATCACCATCATCACCGTCACCATACTATCACCATCACCATCGTCGTCTTCATCAGCATCATCATAATGACCAACATCAGCGCCTGCATTATCATCAACAGCAACAGCATCATCAGCATCATCATCACCCCAATCATTAGCATCAATCTCAACATCAACATCAACATCAACATTAACATCGTGAGCATCATTATCACCAGCAGCATCAACATCAACATCAGCATCATCATCAGCATCATCATAATCCGTTTCACTGTCCTCATGCTCCTTGCCCCTCTGCCTCCTTCACTCTACTGCTGCTTTCCGCCTAGGTATTCCCCTCGTCCATCCTCCTCCACCTCCACACTCCTCGTCCTCGTCCTCGTCCGCGTCCGAGTCCTCGTGTTCGTGTTCGTGGTCGTCCTCGTCCTCCTCGTCCTCCTCCTACTCCTCCTCTTCCGTGTAACAGCTGCCACCAAGAGCCCATACAACTGCAGGCCAAGGCTGAACAAGGAGTATGGATACCCTGCGGCAGCTCAATCAGAATCCTCCCTCTCGCCTCCGCCCCCCACCCCGACCCCCAAAAGAAGACAACGAGACAGGCACTCCCCCTCCTCCTCCTCCGAGAGTCCGGCTCGAAGCAGGGTGTCAGCACCTGGATCATCAGGCCGTTGTCCGAAGGGATCTCGACGCTGGCGGCGCGGCGCCGCTCCGCTCGACGCCGGGGCGAAATCGCGAACGGCTCGCGGGACCACGACGACGACGACGACGACGGCGGACTGCCATGGCTCCGCCCTGGCGAAGCTGGCCGCGTCGCTGGGCGCCCCGCAGACTCTGCCGCAGTCCCCATCCTCCTCCTCCTCCTCCACCTCCTCCTCCTCCTCTCATTCCTCGTGGTCCTTCTCCTCCTTGTCCTCCTCCTCCGAATCCTAGTCCTGGTCCACGACCTCGTAATCGTCCTCGCCCTCCTCCTCCTCCTCGTCCTCTGAGTCGCCGTCTTGCTCCTCCTCGTCGTCCTCCTTCTCCTCCTCGTCCTCATCCAAGTCCTCCTTTTCCTCCTCCTCCTTTCTTTCGTCTCGGCTCAGATCCTACCTAGGACAGCTGGCTCGTATTGTAAAGTGTGGCCGAGAATCGCTCGAATTAACCTGCACAATCCTCGAATACTATCAATTCCACTGTGAATGAAGATACCGGCTCTATCATGTAATTGACTTTTGGCGCCAAGCGTACGATCTGCCGTCCGGACTTTGTCTACAAGTGCGCTTCCAACACCCGCGCTGCAGCAGAACATGTTCCAACACGCTCCTCCTCCTCCTCCTCCTCCTCCTCCTCCCCACGCTCATTCTCCTCCACCTCCTCCTCCACCTCCTCCTCCTCCTCCTCCTCCTCCTCCTCCTCCTCCTCCTCATCATCATCATCATCATCATCATCATCATCATCATCATCCTCAGCATCTTCATCATCAGCAGCATCGTCATCATCAGCAGCATCATAAGCATCATCATCTTCATCATCATTAACAGCATCGTCATCATCATCATCGTCATCATCAGCATCATCATTACAATCATCATCATTACCATCAGCATCATGATCATCATTCTCAGCATCAGCATCAGCAGCATAAGCAGTCGCATCATCAGCATCATCAGCATCAACATCGTCATCATCAACAACATCATCAGCACCACCATCATCATCATAATCAGCATCGTCATCATCAACATGTCATCATCAGCATCATCGTCATCATCATCATCAGCATCATCAACATAATCAACACTATCAGCATCATCGTCATCATCATCAGCGTCATCATCAGCATCATCATCATCATCATCATCATCATCATCGCCATCGCCATCACAATCTCCAGCATCAGCAGCATTATCACCAGCATCATCATCACTATCAGCATTAGCATCAGCAGCAACATCATCATCACCACCACCATCATCATCATCAGCATCATTGTCATCAGCATCATCGTCATCATCATCATCACCAGCATCATCATCACTGGCAGCATCATCAAAGTCACCAACATCAGCGCCATCATCATCAGCATCATCATCAGCAGAATCATCATTAGCATCATCATCAGCAACAGCAGGATCACTATCAGCATCATCCTTCGCATTTTCTCACTCCTCCTCCTCCACGTCCTTCTCCTCCTCACTCTCGTTCTCCTCCTTGTCCCCCTCCTCCTCCTCCTCGTCCTCTTCGACGTCGCCCTCCTCCTCCTCCTCCTCCTCCTCCTCCCTCGCCTGCTCCTCCTCCACGTCCTCATTTTACTCCTCCTTCTCCTCCTCTTCCTCCTCTTCCTCCTCCTCCTCATCATCTTCAGTATCATCATCACACTCCTTCATGTTTCCTCCCTCCTCCTCCTACTCCTCCTCCGCCTCCTCCTCATCCTCCTCCTCCTCCTCCGCATCTACCTCCTCCTTCTCCTCCTTCTCCTCCTCCTGCTCCGCCTGCTCCTCCCCCTCCTCCTCCTCCCCCTCCTCCTCTGGCCCTTCCTTCCACCGTTTCGCCTGCCTTCATCGTCCTCCTCCTCCGCGTCCTCATCCGTCCCTTCCCTTCCGTTCATCCGTCCTCGACCTCCCTCATCGCCCTTCGTCCTCACCCCTCCATCCCTCTTCCTTGTAAACAACTCCTCCCTGTCACACCCCGAGACGGGTCGGTAGGGAAGGCCGGACGTGTCGTCTGAAACTTCCTGACCATGTATGATCCTGAAACTTGAAAGATGTAATCGTTTCAAGGATGGAGAGCGGGCAGCTTTCAAAATGTGGCTCTAGCCTAGCGCCGCGAACATCCGTCTTAAAGTATTGCAGCAGTTACACTGGTGAAGGGCGGGCCCGTTTCAACATGTCGTTCCCGCTTTAGCGCCGCACGCATTCGCATCAAAAGGTTGCAGCATTTTCACAGGTGGAGGGCGGCTTCTTTCAAAATGTAGCACTCGCATCAGCGCCGCGCACATTCGTCCTAATAGCTTACAGCTGTGTCAAGGACTCTTTATGGTTGACGTCCCAGAAGCTGTGGTTTGGTAAGGTTTAGGATATTCGGGGCGCGACAGTCACGTTGGTTCGCAGTGTTGAAGTCTCAGAAATGGGATTCGGGTACGACTTAGGATCGTTCGGTCGCGACAGTGACGTTGATTCGCGGCGTTGAAGTCCTAGGAACGGTGCTTTGGCACGGTTGAGCATTTGCAGTCCGTTATCTTCCAACGGGGCTCTTCCCGCAGTGAAGATAGATCCTTATAGGAGCCTATGAAGTGGACCTAGTAGGGAGGGTTCATTGCAACATCGTTGATGAGTCTTGGGTTAGCACTGGTATTCCTGGCCCTCGTCGTCCACTGAGTCGTCGCCCTCCTCCTCTTCCTCGTCCTCTTCGTCCTCTTCCTCCTCCTCCTCCTTCTCCTCCTGCTCCTCCTCGTCTTCCTCCTCCTCCAGTCCTTCCTTCCTTCCACCCATCTTTCCGCCCCCCTCAATCCTCCTCCTCCGCCTTCTCCTGCTCCTCATACTCCGAGTCCTCCTTGGTCCCTTCTCTTCGGATCACCCCTCCATCATCCCTCCTTGCCCTTGCTTCTCGTCCTTCCTCCCTCCTCCTCCCTCCTCCTCAATCCCCCCCCTCCCCAGCAGGGAGGCAGAACGCCCTCCTGGTGGGGTTGAAGCCCTCGTAGGCCAACTCGCAGAAGAAGTTCGGGTCGAAGTCCGCGAGCACCCCCCCAGGAGGGCGACGAGCAGCAGCAGCGGGAGGAGGGCGGGGAGAGGGGAGGGGAAGAGGAGACGAGAGGGACGACGACGAGGACAGAGGACGAAGGCGAAGGAAGAAGACGAAAGCCAAACGACGAAGCCCAACGGCTCCCCAGGATGGGCAGGCGCGACTCCGGCTCCCGTCATGGTCGTCGAGATTGCCCTCCTTCTCAGTATCGTCATTCGTATCCTCCTTCTTCCCCCTCCCCCGACGTCAACGCCCCGTAGAGGGGAGAGGACGGAGAGGGGAGTTGGCGAGGGTGGGAGGAACGGGTGGAAGGCAGTGGTCTAAGGGTGATCTGATATCCTTTTTCTTCCAAAATCCATCTTCCCTTCGGGGATGGGAGCCCTCCCCCTCTCCTCCCTGTTTTTGTTTGAGGGGGACCGATGTGTCAGAGGGTCCTTTTTTCGGACAGTGGGAGGGCAAATTTTGGCGACCCTTCCTCTTTTGACCGACCGCCTTCAAAATAGCACCAAGAGGCTGTTTTTACTCCCCTAAACCTGCAGCGGATCCCGCCAACAGGCTCGTTCTCAGGCAGGCCCGAAGAGGCCTCCAAGAGGCACCCAAGAGGCCCCCTGAGCGGCCCCCCAAGAGGCCCAAGAAGCTCACCCGAGGCACGCAAGACACCGTCGCGTCCTGGTCCTCCTCCTCCTCGTGCTCGTCCTGGTCCCCCTCCTCGTCCTCATCTTCGTCGACCTCCGCGTCCTTATCCTCCTCCTCCTCCTCCTCCTCCACCTCCTCCTCCTGTGTCTCCTTCTCCTCCTCTTCCTCGTCCTCTCGTTCTCGTCCATATTTTTCGTCTTCATCCTCGTAATGTTCTTCCTCCTCCTCCTCCTCCTCCCCCTCCCCCTCCTCCTCCTCCTCCTCCTCCTCCTCCTCCTCCAACTCGTTCTCATCCTCCCCCTCGTCTTTCTCCTCCTCCTCCTCCTCGTCCTCCTCCTCCTCCCCTTTCTCCTCCTCTCCTCCTCCTCCTCCTCCTCCTCCTCCTCCTCCCCCTCCTGCTCCTCCTCCTCCTCCTCCTCCTCCTCCTCCTCCTCCTCCTCCTCCTCCTCCTCCTCCTCCTCCTCCCCCTCCTCCTCACTCTCTTAGTCCTCGTCCTTCTCATCCTCGTCCTCCTTCTCCTCGTCTTGTTCCTCTTGCCTCCTCCCTCCTCCTCCTCCTCCTCCTCCTCCTCCTCCCTCCTCCTACTTTCCTCTCCTCTTCGCCCCCCCCCCTCCCCCACGCGGGCCCGGGGATTGCCCCAACACGCCGTCCAGGCCGGCCTCCCTCGCAGTTTGAGTATGCGTGTCTCGTTCTCTCTCCCCCCGTCAGCTCTCATGGGCATTGTTTCTGGATGGGTTGGCGGGTATTTTTTCCGTCGCAGCTGCAGGCGAAGGCGCCAGCAGCGTCACAAGTCAGCTCGGGCTACGAGCAAACCTAATTAAATTAGCGGCTGGTGGGGATATTTTTTGTCAGCGGCCGCAGGCGAGAGCGCCAGCGGCGAGTCCAGTCAGAGCGGGCCGCACAAATACGAATTAACCTAAAGCGGTGGGCCGAAGCCTCATGCGGCACCTCGGCGGCCAGGCCGGCGAGTGAAGGGGGCTGAGGGCAACTGCTGGGGAGCTGCACTGCCAGGGTGCACGCATGCAACGCGTTGCAAAGATGGGCTGGCTGCCAGAGTGGTCGGCGGCCAGGGTCAGCGAGCTGCGCGGGAATGAAGTGCAAGGGCGTGGGCACCCATGGAACCGCGAAAGTACCAGGGTGGCCGAAGCCAAGTGCAACGACTGCCGAAAGCCGAATTGTGTGCCCAATGTAGGGCGTGAGCATCAGCGCGCTGCGGAGCACCAGGGTGGCCGAAGCCCGGTGGTCTAATAGATTCGGATCGCAAGAATGCGAGTGAATTGAGCAACCGAAGCTGCAGCGCGGCCAAAATGGCGCGTGGGGGCACCACGAGGTGGCCAGGGAAGCAACTCAGAGAAACCCAAGAAGCGGGTCGAGGCCTGGCGGGTGCAAGGGGTGGCGCCAGCAAGGTCGCGCACCGGAAGCCCCATTAGGGGGGGGAAGCGGCTGGTGGGGATACTTCTTTTTTTTGGACTTGCGGCCCGCAAGGAAGTCCAGAGGGCGGAATGAGGCAATGGGGCGCAATGCCAGATGATTACCATGCGAAGACCACTGGGCGAATGCCAGCGGTAGAGAAGCTGCCACGGATGGACAACAAACGAGCACGAGCCAGACCCACAGGTGGGGAAACCTGACCAGTGGCCGGGAGAAAGAGAGCAGAGCGGCAGAGTGCGCAGGCGGAAGCTACGCGGCCCGCCGCCAGAGGCGGAAAGCAAGAGGGACCACTGGGCAGCTGCCAGCGGACCAAGGGCACCTGGTGGCACTGAACATGCAAATGGAGCAGTAACGGACGCTGAACCTGTACCCTAGCAGCCACAAAGGGCGCGGAAAAGGAGAAGAGGCGGAACGGAGCACAGGAGGCCTAGAACGCGGCGGACTCATTTACATGGCACCCTGTCCGCATTCGTCGCCATGAAAGATGATCACTTCCGACATCGACGAAGGGAGGAAACCACTTCGCACACAGCTGGACTTCAAATGGTGAAGCACGAGGAGGGGCCTTCAGCCAGTAGCCTCTGCATCGCGGCCCGCTCTCAACGCGGGCAAAGAACCTGAGTGGGGTTATTTCAGCCGACAGCAAGGGCAGGAACCCACGGGACGCCGCGGGTATCTATGCGCAGCGTAGTGCCCCTCGAACCCAGGAGGTGGCACCAGTCCGTGGCCAGGGCCATCCACTGCAGGCGGGGACGGATGGGGCGACGCCTTCAGCCAGTCGACCCGGTCCTCCACGGGCCGGCAACGCGGCCGAAACCGTGGGTGGGGCTATCTCAGCCGACCGCGCGGGCTACGAGCCCACGGGGGCCGTGGGGGTCTAGCGCAGTGTGGGGGGTGTACCTCACTCCCAGGAGGTAGCACGGGAACCAAGGCCGCGGCCTGCCACTGCGGCGAAACAAACCCCATCACTGGGTGGGCCGTCAGGAACGAAGCCGCCCAGTGGGAATCCTTCGTCCCTGGGGCAGCCCCGACTGACATTGCCTGCGTGAGGCGGGGCCCAAGATAGCCGCGCCTCACAGGCACATGGCGACGAGGAAGAAAAGGGGGGTAGCAGCCGATAGCCGCTGGACTTGCACGCAGCTGTGGCGACGAGGAAAAGAGGGGGTAGCAGCCGATAGCCGCTGGACTTGTACGCATCAGGAGGGAGAGGAGGAGGGCAGCCGATAGCCGCAGGACGCTTGAAAGACGCGGGGACGCCAAAGGAGAAGGGCACGCCGCACCTCCGGGGGGCGTCCGCGGCGCACGGGCGCGGCCCGCCATTCATGAAGGGAGCGCCCCTTGTACCAAGACAGCTCTAGGCCGCGCGTCTTGGGGGCTCTGGGCTGCGCCAACCCTGATATGGGCAGGGGACTCTTGTCAGGCCAGTCGCCGCGTTGCCAGCGTTCGAGCTCCTTTCCTCGCTGTCGCTTGTCGGCGTATTGCGCGTCACCTCTCGGGGCGGTCCTCTTGTCCCTGGTGCCCCAATCAGCGCCACTCCATGGACTTCCTGGCGGTCCCACCCTTCCCAGGGCGGCCTTGGGTGCCAGGGGGCTCCAGAGCTGGATGCTCCCGACCGCGTTGTCTCCCTGTAGTCGGTATACACCGGTGGGGCAGCTGTGTCCGCCCCGGGCTTGCTCCACGGGTGCCGCTGGTCAGTTCTACTGTGTGCGCGAGAGGAAGGCCTGCGCGCAGCCGCTGGCCCTGTCGGGCGGGGCCGGAGGAGTGGGTGCGGTTCTGCCGCTGGCAGCCCAAGGGTATGGGCGGCCGTCGCTATCTTGCCCCTTGGGGGTGCGGGTCCTTGCGCTGCGCTGTAGCAGGCTGCGATACTTCTCCGTGACTCTTGGCCAGTCCACCCGGAGCTGGTGGCCCCTTACCATCTTGTAGGCAAAACAGCCCGCTGTTTCCCATGCCAGGAGAAATTCTTCGCAAAGCTGAACTGTGTTCTTCTTGGGGTCCGAATGGATGCGGACCCAAGGCAGACCTTGCCAGCTGCCTGCCCTGCGGACCCACGCCGCCCATGCCCCGTCGAATGCGCCTCCGAGCGTCTTCTGCAGCCTGATGATCTTATCTGGGGCTGGCTCGTCTCTCTGAATGTCGGCCTCGAAGATAGACTTCATGTACATGGGAAGCCCACCCAAGGGGTCGTCTCGATGCGGAAGTGGGACTGGATCTGCCTGTGGGCCAGGCCGTCTGTCCGGACTGCGGCGCTGCCGGGGGCTGGGCGGCGGACGGGCCTCGCGCGCAGACACGGCGTGCTCGGGAATGGACTCCTGACGGCAGTCTGGCTTGCCCCCCGTTCCTCTATGGCCCCTGCCGCCACGGATCTTTTCCATGTCCTCCCGGGAGCGGGCCGTAGCATACGGCGTCCAGGTTGCCGCCTCATACTTTGGTGGGGGGTCTGTCCACAGCACTGTCCGCCTGTGGGGGCCATCTTTGTCGCTGGGGTCGTGGGCTTCGGTCTCCTCGGCCTGCTGTGGGGGACTGCCGACCGTGGAGACGCTCCTGTCTGGTGGGTTGTACTCGTCCCAATCTACCTCGATTTCGCCAGTGCCGCAGCCGCCCCTGTGCGGGGATGGCTCCTCTTTTATCTCTTTGCCCGCCTTTGTGGCTGCCCGGGGTTGCTGGCGGAGGTCATCACCAGGGGCGCAGCCGTCTGAGGCTGCTGGGGCTTCGCTCCAGAAGGCAGCGGGGGAGTCATCTCCCGCGCCGCTGCTGATCTCCCCGACGTTGCGTTCGCTGGCGAGGACCTCCACTGCGAGGTCGCCCTTCATTTGGGATAAGAAGCGGTGCAACGTGCCCAACGACTGTCGCTGGGGGCATTGTCCTTTTTGGCTGCTGAGCGTGTCGGAGAAGGAGCGCCAGGCCTCCCGGTACTTCTGGTTCCTCCTAACCAGCTGCGTGATGGCGTTGGCCGCAGCAGCTCTCTGCCCGTCCCACGGGACGAGAGGGGGATGTCCATTCCTGGGGATCTCATCCCCGTAGATGG